TTCATGTCCAGTTTTGGAATCCAAAAGATTGTATCAAGTTTTTATATTATCAAAAACGTTTGCTCTTCTTAATCACCAGAAATTTTCTTCCACTTTTAAATTAACCTAAAATGAATGCTCAGTTTTAAAATGATCACGAGATTATTTCCAGTTTTTTTTGGAAAACCAAAAATGCATGGCCAGTTTCCTGTCCTTTTTTTAATTTCTAAAAAATAGAAGCTCAGTTTGCATGGGACCAAAATTGTGTGAATTTATGTCCACTCCTCACTTAACCAAAATTTTATGTCCGGTTTGAAATAACCAAATATTATACCCAATTCTTAAATGACCAAAAATGTATGTCCTTTTTTAAAAATAACCTTAAATGTGTGTCCACTTTTTAATAACCAACAAAATATGTCCAGATTTTTAAATAACCCAATTTTAAAATTACAAAAATTTATATCCAATTTTAAAATGACCAAAACTCAAATCTAGTTTCCTTAATGAACAAAGAGTTATACCCAGTTTTTAATCGTCCAAAAATTAATAACTAGTTTTTAAATAACCAAGAATTTATGTCCAATTTTTAAATAGTCAAAACTTTATGGCCAATATTTATAAAACCAAAAGGTGCAATCAATTTCCTTAACTACCAAAAATGTATCTATGTAGTACTATGTTCAGTTTTTAAATTATCAGAAATTTATGTCCAATTTTAAATAAAAAAAAATTTGTATATAAATTTTTAACTACTTAAAACGTGTGCCCAATTTTTAAATGGTCTTGTTACATCCAGTTTTAAAATAACCAGTTTTTTAATATTCAAAAATTATACTCCGACCTAATTTTAAAATTACAAAAAATTGATGGCCAGTTTTTACTTTCAGGCGGCGTACGTATACCTATGCATATGTATGTAAGGTATGCATGAATTGGTGTAGTAAAATACTAGATATCTACAAATTATAAACAGCCGTCCATCATGGGCACTAGAGGTATACGCCGCCGGGCCACGCCGCCGCCGCCGCCGTTTTTTGTCATTTCTCACGCGCCGCCGCCGAGTTACGAAAATATCGGCGCGGCGGCGGCGGCGGCGGCGTTCGGCGCCTAGGGAATTTTGTACAAAATTTTCATGTTGTATGCACATTGAAATACATCGTTTGAAGGAACTAAATACTACTCGCATAAAAGCACTATTTTACGAAATGAAAATTACATTTTTAAAAGATGTTTTTTTGTCATAATTTGGGCCACTGAACATTTAAAAAAAAGCGTAACTCAGAAAAATATATAGGTAACATGTTTTTCGATCGACAGCGTTTATTACAGTTAAATTAGGGTCGAATAGGGTAGAAAAGTTTTTTCCTAAGTAGTGGTCAAACCCCAGGAAGGTTTTGCTCCCGCGCATAGCAATATTTTCTACACAGAGTTGAAGTCCCCCTTTTTGGTAAAAATTACTATTATTTTGCATTACATTCTGTTCTCCTTAGAAAAATTTGGCACTTAATATATTATTGGAAATTTAACTATTTATAAGCCATTTTTCAAACAGTGGGTCAAAAAGGCCCGTTGTGGTGGGAGTTGATGGGTTAAACTTTTGGAAAAAAGTAGGCCAACCTTATTTTCAATATATAACCCGCAAAAATTCGTAAGAACTCCGTAATTTAACATAACGGTTGAAAGCTTATTGCAA